CAGTCACATACTGTGGACAGGGAACACACAGGCCTGGGTTCTATTAGAGATCTATGTTAGAAAACAGTGAGGAATTCACCAACATGGCCTCTTCAGAGGCCAGATAATCTAGTCATGGCAAACAGAACTAAGACCTGCAGGAGCTTAACATACTGTTATGCTGCGTGGCGGTCGCCAGGAACACCTTGTTTTGGTGGTGGAGAGGGTGAAGAACAGGTTTGTGTTTGTGGCTACCTGCTGCAGAACGCCTTCGAGGCAGAGGCACGCCCACTTGGAAGCACAATTCTTCTGGAAGTGGGAGGAAAGCAGAAACGGGAGCTGTCCTTGTCCTGGGGCAGAAGTTAGCTAACAGCCACCCAGCAAGTGCGGGAGTACGGTATGTTCACTCTGCACGAGAGAGATCACAGACAGTGTGCAGCCTTGCTTGCTGGGAAGTACCCATTTGTGAGTAGGGGAGAATTTCCCTAACTGTTCAGGGTTGCAAAGCTTCTTAAAGATACTCATTTAAGAAAATGATCAAGAAAAAAGAGAGCAGTCAGGTTGTTTTAGAAATATAATTTATTTACTTATTCATCTTTAAAATGGGGTAAGTAAACCAAACGTCTGGTGTAAAGTGCTTCAGTAAGGCTGTGTTGGCTTTGCGCGTGATTACGCGGTGTGGGAAATGGAGTATAATGAGCTGCTGTAGATGACAACCAGGCAGTACCATGTCTGGGTCTGTGAAGATGTGCTCTGCTTCACTCTCCTCTGCACATGCCACAGCCTCCTGCTGACAACGGCTGGACCTGCTGTTTGGGTTTCTTAGAATCCCAGCTTCAGGAGGAGTTTTCTAGGGAAAAAAGGACTTCACACCGGGGACTTGATTATTCAGGTCCCGGGAGGCTTTGCAAGACAGAACCTAAAGTTTCCAGTATTCAAAAATACCTGTTGTACCTAGTGATGCAGAGAACGATGAGTTCTCTCAAGAGCCTTGTAACTGTGAGGCAGGCAATGCCTCTGCAGCAGGAAGTAACGTTTGTCTTTCTGGCCTAGTCAAGGAGGGATCAGTGAGTACCTGGAGCACGGAAAGAAGGTACTCATAGGCTACTTTGCTTGGATCACATACACCCACCCTCGCCAGTGAAGCAGAAAGGAGAAAACATCTTTGGCCGTTACTGTGAATCCCCAGGAGTTATCCAGTCTTTTCTCAAGTACACATTAACCTTGTGACTCCACTAAAACATCTTGCATACATCTAGGCACAGCCTGAGGACAGCGTAGAAGAGGAGGCACCTAGAGGCGGGAAGAGGATGAAGAGGAGGGAAGAAGGACGCCAGTGAAAGGAGACTTGGAAATGAAGCAGGAGGAGACCGGTGAGCATGGAGAACTGGCTGGGCAGTTTGTGAGCGCCATGCCCACCTCAGTGCCCCACGACAAGGGGACCTGGTTTTCTGAGGCATGGGAGTATTTCTACCTGGCTCCTACTTGTGCCGGGAACCACCACACTCAATATGCCACCTGCTGCCTGTGGGGCAAGCAGGTGAGCCGTGGCCCAGGGGTCAAAGTGGGCACACTGCCCTTTGGAAGCATCTGAAAAGCATGCACAGAGAGGAGCTGGAGAAGAGTGGTCACAGCCAGGCAGGGCAGCACCAGGACACACGGCCCCAGGAAACCCAACTCCCTGTCCACATTGAGGGTGACTGGGGAAGGCTCCTGGAGCAAGGGTGCCCTGGCATCGTGGGAAAGCCAGAGGGTAAAGGAAGTGCTGAGGAGGGAGAGGGCGGTGGAGAGGAGGGAGGAAGTCCTGGAAGAGGTGGAAAGGGCCATCCTGGAGACAAAGTGGAAGGTAAGGGCTGAGAAGGCCCCATGCCAGCATGAGAAGGACCTGTCTGCAGTGCGACACCCTTTCCATTCAATTTAAATTGTGCTTACAGTGTCCTTTCTGAAAATACTTTATTCGGCTTAAATATAAAGCACACTGACTTAGTGATAATTTGTTCTTAAGAAAAAGAGTGCATCTTGTGAATTAATCTCAGCAGGTTGAATTGAACAAATGCTTATTTACAGGCTTCCTAGTGTTTGCTGGCCCATGGACAAAACTGCAAAATGTATGAACGAAAGATAAAGATTGTTTTTCCAAGATGGGCCGAACTTGTCATGTTGTTTAGTAAAAATAACAGCATTTGTGCCTAGCGCTTGGTTTGGCGGAGGGGAAGGCTTCCATAGCTGAGTCTGGGCATGAAACTGACTTTTGTGACCTATGTGACCTATGTCACCAGTGACTCTCAGAGACCCCAGTGCTAGCAAAGCACAACCTTCCTGGTTCAGAGTTGTCTGCACTGATACTGGCGGTGATTGGAGACCTGGATGTGAATCTTGCCTTGTGTGATCCAGTGGTAGAAAGACAAACAGGCTTCGGCCTGAGCTCTCTGGAACATGTGATGCATCTTTCTCTCCCACTGTTGCAATATTTTACAGTATGCTTAGATTAAAGCTATTTCCCCAGTATAGTTTATCTGTGTCCTGTTAGTGTTTCCAACAATCCAATATATAAACCAATCAGTTTGTAATTATCACAGTGTAATTATCAAAGACTTTTCAACACACATGGCTTAAACATTCAGAATAAAGAACATAAAAATTTGCTCACAAGTATTTATGTCTAGTCTAATTTCACATTATGTTCTGTCAATGGGGAGAGCCAATGAGGAAGAGATAAAAGAAACTCAGAAAAAAAGATAGAGAGATGGGATAAGTAAAGAGACCTAATAAATGGATAAAAAAAGGAAAGAATAGAAAAACAATGTGAAAATGAGGAAGAGAAAGAGAGAAATTATACTAGGAAAAGTTCACCATGAAAAGAAGGAAAGGTCATGACTGTCTCTCCATGAATTAACTTAATTTTGTTCTGTGCCTACAGACCAGTCCTTCATTTGAAAAGTAGGCTTTGGATTTTATTTGTACCTCCTCTGAAATGTTAACTGCACAACAATCCATTGTTCTCTGATTTAAAAAATATCTGTTCATCTTTAAATGTTCAAAGATGCTTTAAAGAAAGAGAGCCTAATAGTCCATAAGGAGAGAAAAATTTTTTGAGTAGGGAAGAATATGCCTAAAATAGAAATATTAGACTTGGGGCTGGGGATTTAGCTCAGTGGCAAAAGCGCCTGCCTGGCAAGCGCAAGGTCGTGAGTTCGGTTCCCGGTACCGGAGAAAAACCTAGAAATATTAGACTGGATAGTATTCTGGCCTTTGTGCAAGAGTGGACTTCTGTTCTGGAAGATTCCTGTAGCGCCTTTGCTTGTTTAAGTGAGTTGGGAGTGGAGTGTTGAATAGGAGAGAGCTAGAGGACATGGGAAACATGAAGACATGTCCCATTATCTCCTTAACAGCCAATACTTTATGGGCACAAATCTCCCCACAACTGATGAGGCCTTGGTGTAAACATGGCCTCTTGCCTTCTATACTGCTCATTCTAAGTGCTTTAGATTTGTAAAGTAGCTTAGGAACTGGACCTGTAGTCCCTATGAGATGTTTGCAAACAGCAATCTGAACACTAGATTTATGAAAAACACAGATCACTCCATAGATGGATAATGATCTTCTCTGCACACCCTGGGAAGCTGACCACTATTACAGATCTCATGTCCCATGCAGTTTCCTTACAGGGTCATGGTGCCCCTTGTAGCACTCTCTCCACCCATAAGGAAAATCCAGGTGCTCTCTGGTGCAAACCATGATGGCTGAGCATCATGCACCTGGGCATTTAGTCATAGCCACTTTGTGCCACAAAAGATAGTTAAGAAAAAGAGAAGCTGTCATAGCCAGTCTCTTAAAAACAAAAACAAACCCATGCACATCTGGAATGGAATGTAAGAAAGTCAAGTTGTCAGATTAAATGACCACTGTTTATCAGGACCAGAGATTATATTATTTAATTGTTTTGGAGGAGGGGAAGAAACTAGAATATGAGCACAATTTTTTCTTATCCCATGTGAAAGGAAACCTTTGAGAACATTTATTTTACCTGGGGTTCTGAAAATCTGGGGTGAAGTCATAAGGCTGCATGACAGCTAATTAAAGCAGATAATAGTAATCAAAATAAGAAAGACAATGATGTTTATAGAAAACAATGCATCCCACACACTACAGTAAGAATTTTTCATATATTAATTTTATTCTTAAAACAAAGATGCATAGATACTATTATGGATACCTCATATATTTGGGGAACCTGACTATAAAATGTGATAAAATTTGCTCAAAATTTCAGCCAATAAGAGCAAGAGCTAAGAAGAGGGTCCAGATCCCAGTGACTGGAGGCTTGGATCTACCCAGAAGTCAGAGGGTACTGGTTTACTTTTCTTTCTCTCCTGCCTTCCCTCTTGCTGCCAAAGACATAACCAGAGCTCTGAGAAAGTACAGCAGGGCACATTTTTTTCTTGTCACTTTGAAATAAAAATAATGGGAAAGCTGGTGCAAGAAATGGATTGCAAGAAATTAAATGTCAGCTGAACAAAATCCTCATTCTTACACCAGGATTCACACTGCTTTCTGTCCTACTTTTCTCTCAATTTTTTTTTAAGGAGAAGTTTAAACAATTGAGTTCATTTGAGTTTTATTTTTCTAGGAAATTTAAGGACTACAGATTCAGGTTATACCTTCTGAGAGCCCTAAGTCAAAGTAAGGATCCCAATTTGGTTTCTAGAATTAACTCCGTTTCTTTTCCTCTCCATCAGCAATTAATCAGTTAAGGACTAAGGAGTAAGGTCCTTTGCAAGAACATTCTTGGTAGGTATATAACCTGACATACCCTGGCATGTGACAGTATAGATTTTCAAAGGCTTTCAGGTCACTCACCTTTCCCAAGACATCCACAGTTTTGTTTTCCATAACCATAGGGATTTCTGGCTTAGCTTAAAGACAAATAAAATGGTTAGTGGCACTAAACGCAGTTTTAAGTAGTTGTGTGTGTGTGTGTGTGTGTGTGTGTGTGTGTGCATATGCATGCATTTGTTCTATGAGAAAGACTAACTATCCATCAGATATTTATTAAACACCTACTCCATGCCTGACAGTAAGCTAAAAGTCAAGGAAACAAAGGCAGGCAAATTATATTCACTGAAGTTTACATTTTCATGGAAAATGCAGATAAATAAGCTGGAAGTTATAATACACTGAAGTAAGCACAGTGATTGAGACCATGTAGGATTGGAAGAAAGCTTTTCAGGAAAGCTTCTGACCTGACCCTGGAGGTTAAGGGGCTTGGGAAAATGCAATATGCAACTGAAACCAGAGTGGGGATCAGCGGTAAACCACGCGAGACGAGAATGCAGCGGAATGCAGGGGCAGACAGTAGGGAAAGAAGAGGTGTCCATGTGGCCAAAGGCCAGGAAGTAAAGTGTCACTTTCAGGGCCTAGATGAGAACCAGGAAAAATGCATGACCTTTTTATTTTTTGTTTGCATGGCACTAGAGAAACATCAAGAGTAGTTCAGCAATTCTGTTGTCCTGGTAGGTTGTGAGTCTTTCAAAGCCAGAGAGTATGTTCCCATCTCTTTGACTCCAGCACTTCGCGCCCAGCACAAAGTACACCTTGAGTACATCGTGTTACACTGAAGTGACTTCAAGTAAGTTCTTGCCTACAGCAGGCAGAGCTTCCCTCGCCGGTGGAAAGAACATTAAGACCCTTTGCCCAGTTGCTGTCTGTGCTTGCTACATCTGCTTCGCATTGCCTTCTACACACTGCACAGTCTTGCAAGGCACAATCTCTGCCTGAAGATTCTTTGGGATGGTAAGAACACCATCTTTCGGAAAGAAAAGCTGGAAGGAGCTAATGAGATTTAGTAGCTAAATATCATGGCTTCCCTGCCCTTCACTGGAGATAACGTTGATGTGTGTTCTGTGCTAAGACCCAGTGTTCCTGTGGAACTGATTTCTAAGCCCATGGTAGTAACCGGTTTAATCGTGCACATGCTATTATTCAGGTTCAATTTCTCCTTCCTCTTGCTTCCCAGGATGACATCTCCAATAAACTAACTAAATTAGCTCAAATCCTTGCTGCAATGTTTTCTTTCAGGAGAAAGCAAACCAACATGTGACCCTAAAACTCTCAAGAGAGGAAGACATTTGACATTCTACTAGCTGATGAGCACCAATAGAAGGAAGGACCTGAAAGAAGCAACAATTCCTAAAACTTGCAGGGCTGATCAAAAGAGACAGCATCTCTTTGTTGCTTAAGATAATCAAATTTTCACCTTAGGAATAAGGAAAGCAAACTTGTGCTGGGAGGTAGCTCCTTCCCAAGGAAAGTGACAGAAGGCAAGTGAGGGAGATGCAGGAGGCAGCAAAGGACCTGATCTGTAGACAGTGGAAAGCTAGTTGAGGCATAGTTTAGAAAGAAATGAGTAGGTCAGGTTATGGAGAACGGATAGGTGATATATTTGGATATTCAGTTTTCATGTTGCATGTTTGGTTTATTCAATATGGGGAATCACTGATAGATACAGAGCACGTTCTTATACAGTATGTATTGTACCTCTGCGCTAGGGCCACTGTAATGTACATTCAGGTGATACCCACAAGCTGATCAAAGCCTGGATGAAATGCTATCCAAATACAACCCACCCAGCCAATACACTAAATGAGAATGCCATTAGGCTGGGAAAATCTCATCCTGTGAATAAGCAGGCAGAGGGTCACATTCTAAGGACCCACCAAAAGGAGTTCAGAGAAACAGCAAGAAAAATATAGAGACAGACATACAGAACCAGAGAGGTGATAGGAGCCAGAGGTAAAGGAGTGAAAAGCTTTCAAGATCAATGTGAAAATATTCTGATCCGTAAAGAGATCGTTAGGTATATCAAAAGTGTACCAATACAATGAATTAGGTAAAAAGATACAGTGCGTGGCTTAAGTGTTGATGAGGCAATTAGATCCTGTTATGATACAAAAACCCTCGGTTAAACAGGGCCACAACTTGTCTAATTTAAAATTGACACTTTCTTCTGCATCTTGGATAGCTGCCTTCCCCTTTTGCAAATTGTTTTGTTTTGCTCAGAATACTGTATCTTGTGATTTTCCATACAGAAAGGTTCAAAATAAAAACAACGGTTTTACTTGCTGTACTATTCAGAGAGCCGAGGGGCAATTTAGCAACCTATGCCCTTAGGTTTTATAGTCTGTTTACCTCATTTTCTAAAATAATTAATTGCTTATCCATATGACAGTTTTCCTCTTTGCCTTCTTTTAAAATGGCTTTTAAAAAAGTACAAGACTTGGCCACAGAAATGATAAAGTATCAAGGGCCAGAGACTGCTGCTTATTAATATCTCCTTGCACCACAGGGCAAAATGGAATGTGAACGTTCTCATCTTAAAATTGCACCCTGCGGAGTCTCTGCATTTTGAAGAAGCACGGTGGATGTTACAGATCAGCTCTGCTCTCCTGAGGATGCGGACTCTGAGGGCTGGGACAGTCTCTGACCCCAGCTGTTCCTGGAAGGATGGGGTGAGGCGACTCCTGCCGAGTTTTTCTGGGCTCCATTTATCACTTTTTTTTTTACCCCTAGTGGCCTTATTCCACCTTGCTCCCGAAGGAGCTAAGATAATTAGACAAATGAGCAATTAGATTTTGATGGTTTATAATTAAATCAATTTCCAGCATCCTTAGGGAAAATGAATGTTGCGGATAAGGCATATATGACTCAGATATGGCTTCTACGTAAAACAGACTCATAGGCGGCTTTCTGCATGATTTTTTTTCCTATGGACAAAATAATTATTCTTTAGCCTTTCACTTTTGTCCTCAGTTCCAACAAGAATAATAAACATCAAAGCAAAACATGATCTGGGAACAGTTATTCTAGTGGGGCTGCTCTCCTGACCAGGCAGGAGCTTCATTTTCTAGGGGACAGCAAGGCATGAGATATTGACAGGAGGATGGTAGGAGCCCGTAGAGCAAAACCCCTTACCAAAGACCTTCACGGTGGTGGAGCTCTTCAGGATTGTGCCAGGCTTGACTCCAACGTGGCAAGAAAACTTCCGGTCATCATCATGGATTTGGACCAGAGAGAGGTGAAGTCTATAGTCTGCACCTAGCTTGACTCTGTCTGTAAATGATGTGGAGTTGCTGATGTGATGATCCCGGGTGATAACAGTTGCCAGAGTGTCATTATCCTCCTAGTGAGAAAAAAAAATGGCCAGTTATATTCAGTTGGGCCAGTTTGGAAGTATGTGTTACATGAGCATTAATTAATTTATTTTTGCAGAATGGAGTGGAATAATGGCTAATTAAAATGAAGAGATATTTAGTAGACTACTAGAGAAAGTATCATTATATTTGACTTTCAATTAAAAACTACTGTCACCCTCTCCAAATAAGAATAGAAGCTTGCAGTTTCTGTTCTGACTTTGCCTTCCTCTTACTACCTTCCAGAAGCTGCATGTCTGAGGTGGGATTTGTGTGCCTGGAAGAAGGAATTAACGGCATATCATTTAGAAAGCTCTGAAATTTTAATGTTGACTTGTAGTAAGGACAGTCTATAAATTTTGCTTATGAAATTTTCACACAAACTGGATAATTATAATGACCTTTCTGGCCAGAATTTCTTTAGGAAAGGAATTCTAGCTCTTCTCAGAAGCAGGACTAGGACAACGTAAAGGTGCAAATAGGGTACAGGGTATGAGGAGGCCTCATTCTCAGGATCTTGGGGGTGAAGTGTTGTAGTGAATGTAGTGAATGCCTCATTGAATTTTTTCCTAGGCACCTCTTTCCTCATTCTAGACACGTATTTCTTCACCCTAATCATGATCCTTGCCCTGACATCCTTATACCCTTATGTGCATTTTACCAGGAGCTTCAAATGTTAACCTGAATTTTGGATATCAGTTTATCTGGTGTATTTGGGTCCTGTACTCCATATTTTGTCTAGTATCTGTGAAGAAAAGCTCTTGTTATTCTCACCCTGCCCTGTAGTTCCATGGGAGAGCTCCCCGTGGTTACTGTTAGAAAATGTGCTGACCTACTTTCCCGTGAGGAGAGAACTCCAGGATAGGACTTGGTAGAAGAAGAAGGGCTAAATCCTCATACCAAGTTACTATAACCCAGTATTCTCAGCTGAGCTTCTTTGAAACTTCTGATGCACAAGGTCCTCTACAGGCTCTAAGCCCATCCCTCTGGGATTAGGCCTGGACTGGGGCATTTTTTTAAAGGTTCTCCAGTGAGCCTGGGCTGAGAACCACTGGCATAACTAAACCACAGATGAAGTACCATGCACAGGGGAAATGGAAAGATCTAAGATATCGAAAGGGTGAACAAGAATGCATTGAAAGGCAGAACGTTGCCAAATAATGAAAGCAAATATCTACAACTTGGAATCCCTAGTTTAAATGATGAGATAAAGTCAAGGTAGAAGAAATGGGAGCCAGGGGGGTGAGTAAATTCAAGTATGGACATATTTTTGAGTTTAATTATACAGATAATTTCGGAATTTACTTAGGGGAGGACTCTCGTGTAGGGCACAACTCTTTGGACGAATATGGCTAGGATTTTCAGCCTTACATATGGACAATACCATAGGGTTGCCTGCAAAGAATCACACCCTGCTAAGTGATGTATGGAAGTGATGTTATGTCCCTTCTCAGAACACCACGAGCCTGTGCTGCTTTTCTCTTTTTTTAGCATGTTTCCCATACATGGTGAATAGATTCGTCATTGGGCATTGGCTCGTATATATACTTCATCTGAATCCTTTCCACCTCCCCTTCCCTCTTTTCCATCTCCCTGCATCTCCAGGTTGGTTGTGCAGCTGCACACAGTCTATCTCCTTGCTTACCATCATTTCTCTTTTAGTTTGCTTTATTTTTTATTTTTTGCGGTACCAGGGATCGAACTCACGACCTAGCGCTTGCCAGGCAGGCGCTTATGCCACTGAGATATATCCCCAGCCCTAGTTTGCTTTTTAAATGATTTATATTTTGGTTTTCTCATACAAACAAAACCACGTGATATATAACCTTAGTGTCTGTTTTATTTCACCTAGCAGTATGAACTCATGCACTATTTTCCTAATGAAGACGATTCAACCGTCCAGAACAAAAGAACAAAAGTGTATGCGTGAGACTGGGTCTCCAGGGAGCTCCAGTGACTGTGAGCGCTGCCAAAGCGGAAGGCATTTCCCTGGGCGGGTCTGAGGCCAGGAGTTAAGCGAGCAGGCTTCCCCTGCAGGTCCTTCAGCACAAGAGTCGTTGTACAGCCTCTTGCTCGTGCATGCACTGCTTTGTAAGAATTTTGGAGATAAAAATGTTCTTGGTTATTCAGTGTGTGGCTTGCCATTTGGAACATTTTTATCTGTGGTTTTGTTGTGGGAAGAAAGGTAGCCACATGCTGTAGACTGCTAAGAAAAATGGCCTTTGCTTTTATTATGTAGCAGGGTATTGTTAGCTCCAGTGGTTTATTTGATGGAGAAAAGATACCATAAAGAAACAAATGCATAAAAGGCAAGTTATGCACATATTGTCTTGTTTTGCTTTTTACTGGGTAACCAACTGCTGCAGAGGAAGCTTGTTTCTTCATTGGAAAGATACTACTCATTCGCAAAATTCCCTGTTATCTATAATACAAGGGATTCCTGAGAGAATTTACAATCCCGAGAAATCTACAGTTCCACATTTTATAAAGGGTATTGTGACAAAACCTGCATGTGAGTGTCTACCTTCACTAAGCAAGCAACAGGAGACGTAGCTAAAAGTAGCCTAGGCAATGTCTAGACCTGGGTAGTGTCTAATGCTGAGAAAGAGAGCGAGAATACTTTTATTCTCTGACTCCTCTAAACTTTTATACCCTTATTAGTCATAGCCTAAGTTTATTTAGCATCTAGTATTTTTTAGGTACTATGTAAAGTTCTTTCAAATGTTGTTTATAGTCCTCATAATGATTTGGAATAAATTGAGGTTATTAATTTGCTCATTTGCTCAAAGTTAACATAGTGTAAAAGGGTATTTAAGTCACAACATTTCAAGATAAGACTGCTCAGAACCATGGGTAAATAAGAGTCAAAGACAACATGTATTAATAAAATCCAAACAACAGAAAATAAAATTGATGAAAAACCAGTTGGAGAATCTGGAATAAAAATTTAAAAGAAAGTCCAGAAAGCCAGAATCTTTTGTGTCAGTAACAGATCGCAGGGGTGTGCAAATTGCTGCTGGAAAGGGGTATTCTTGCAATATATTGACCCACTTTTGGTACTGTATTAGGCATCGTGGTTAAACATCCAATGCTTGATGCACCAACTCTTACCTGATATGTAATAATGCTTCTAGGTAACCTGGTCTACAGGAAACACACTGGTAGGGGGTCCTTAAGCAGAGCCTTTGATGCTACCTGTTTTTCTTGTTTTTCTCTGCTCTTCAAAGAAAAAAATTGTCTCCTTATCAAATATTAATAAATATGTCTAAAGCCTTATCAGCTTCCAACTTGATGGACCCTTACATTTTAATGGGCAATATATATGTATATGTATATATATATATATCCTGACACTTAGCACATGGTTAATTATACAAGTTTAATGCCCTCCAGTAACCCATGATCAACCTACTCTATTTCATTAGTATGTACTGTTTGCCAGGCTAAAAGCAAGAAATTTTTTAGTCATTGCTATGTGTTGTTTCTTTGTCCCTTCCAAAAGTCATGTTAAAATTTAATCATTATGTAATGCAAACTTGTGGTAATACAAAATAAAAAAGTGAGAAAAAGAAATTTAATTCCCAATATAACAGTGCAAAAGGGGTAGCTGCATAGCACTTGCCTGACAAAGGTAAAGTTCTGAGTTCAATTCCTGCTACCACCCCTGCTCACAAAAAACCCTGCAAAAAAACAGTGCTGAGAGGATGTGACTGGGCTCAGGGAGGGCTCAGTGGTACAGTGCTTTCTTAGCAAGCACAAGGCTGTAGGTTCAATCTACAGTCCTTCCCAAGAAAGGGCAGAGGGGTTGTGGAAGTGGGTTTTCCCTCTTGCACACTTCTGCTATGTGCCTGAGGATGCAGCACTCCACCTGCACTCTTGGAAGCAGAAAGACCAGTACCTAAGTGGTGGCACCTTGGTTCTGGACACCTCAGCCATCAGAATCTGGAGAGCATTAATTCTTATTGCTATAACTTAGTCTTAGGGATTCTTTTATAGAAGCACAAAATGGACTGTGACAGTCAAACAGCCATACATCGCTCAATCTGACATCCTGCCACTGTCAGCCCTTTCTGTACCTGCCACTGATGGGCATCATGGCCATGAAGACACAGGAAACCCAGGCTGGTTGGAAAATACAATTCTTTGAACAATTTAAACACAGCCAGAACTCAAGCATGCGTTTAGCTGCAGAGGAAGCTGCTGCTGCAGAGGAAGCTTGTTTCTTCATTGGAAAGATACTACTCATTTGCAAAATTTCCTGTTATCTATACTCTAAGGGATTCCTGAGAGACTTTACAGTCCCTAGACTGTACTCAATAGCATGCATTTTCTTTAACATTGTGTTGTTTTGTGCATCATGGTTTATTCCCTAAACTTTGATGACAATGTTGATACTTATTTGCATTAATGATTTTGTTTTTGGTGTCTCCTTAAACTTTGCTGACAAGGTGGACGGTCTCACCCACTTCCCGCTCATCTGAGCCCCTAGGTTACACAGATAGTAAGTGGTGAGCCAGGACCTGAAGATAAGATTTTCCCTCCAAAGACCCTGCTGGTACTGTCTGCCATAGAGAGTCTCACAGAAGTGGTAGGACGTGCCTTTGCCTCTGCAGCAGATAGTCTGCTTGAAGATAGGAACAGATTCACAAGAAAAAGCTAGAAAGGTGAAGACCAAAAGAAGAGAAATAAATGCACAATGAAGTATGTACACAAATGTAATGAAATAATTATGATGAAGGATGGATGGAGTCACATTGAGTCATGGTAAACTGCTGTATCATGCTCCTTCTATCAAATCCTAAAATAATTCACTGAGAATTTTCCATTTTTCACTAGTACTAGAATTTTCAGTCCAGAAGAGGGATATCAGTACTACTGGACTTAGTGGTGTTTTCTCCTCTCTGGGCCCCCTAAGTTCCCCAGAACGAGCTCCACATCAGAGTCAGCTCTATTGACCACAGCAGGTAGCAGGTGCTGGGTGTTCAGAGCTGGTCCTGCAAACATTGTTAACTGCATTGATCGCTAAATCTTCATCTCCAAACTGCTTCTGATATTCACATTTCCCTGTCTGTTCTCTACCTAGTCGGTGCTATCAAAGCAGACTGCTTGCAAATCTATTGCTCTGGAGCACCAGAACAGCGTTTCGCCAATATCATTATTGTTCACACGTTGTAGTTCGGCTGATGCTTTGTTTTTTGATTACAGCAAAGAAAATTAAGGTCGGCTGCCATTAGGTAAGACATTACAGTTTTGTTTTCTGAATAGAGATGCTGCCCATAAATATGAGGAACATTGTTTATAGTCTTATTTTGCTTTTCATTTAATTATGAAATGGCACAAAATTTTAAAAAACATAATAAAAATATATTTGCAGATAAAAAATATGTAAAGCTTTAAAATATAGCTATGACTCAGTTGTGTTCTTTTATTGTTAATACTGAACTGTTTGAATTTCAAATATTCCTGTCCTTGTCTTCATGATTTAAAGGACTTAGAATGTTTATCTCTTTTTTTATCTACTGATTCCAAGAAGAAATATTCCCTTAGAACCTTCTCCCACGTGCACTACCAACTTGTGCTTACAATTCCTGAAGTCTGCATTTAGCATATGTCTGTGTTCTGCAAACCATCTCTCTAATTAACTAACTCAAAAATAACCTTTTCTAGGAAGGTTTCCTGGGCACATCTAGTCAGAGTTAAACTATTTTCCTCTTATACTGCTATTTTTTACACTTTCATTAAAAGTGTATGGTGTGGCTGAAAATATCTCCGGTATAATTTTGTATCCCTGCAGAACCTATCACTCAAAACAGATTCACCGTGTTTATGGGGTTGAATTAATATTTATACTATGGGAAACCAAGTTGATAGTTTGAAATCAAAATGAAATATCAGAGTACGTTTGGAAGCTCCCAGAATAAGGCTAAAGAATTGCTCAGCTGACTTTATACTTGTATCCTAAGGCATAAAATAAGAAAGAACACTTGTTCTTTATCTACCAGTGGCAGTCCATCTAAACATACATCTGAGACTTCTTATGTGTCCCTCCACTATTCACATACATCCCCGGTTTCCACTGAAGTATTGACCTTTTCTGTGTGCACTTAGGTAACCGAAATAGCTCATGACAGGACAAAGTTATACATATTGTATATTTGCTCCCGATGTCTGTCTGCTTCAGTGTAGTCACAGGCTTGATATGTTGCTTCCCGAAATGCAAAGGATCTGTTCCACCTAACATAGCCTAAGCATGGAAAATAGGTTTCTCAATGATATAGAAAATCCCAAGAATAACTTTTCCCATGAGAGTCATAACTGAGTTAATTAGATTTTATAAAGTTCCACATACAAGAAGACATGATTTTGGTTTTCTATTGACCTAGATAAGTTTAGTTTGTAAAACTGTTTCCAGGATTTGACAAAGCTCTCAGGAAGGAGGTCTTTGCTGCCCTCATAGTTTCTGAGTTTAGTGCAGCAGGTGTTTGCCCTCCTGTGCATCTCTTCATCATCAAAGCCCCATGATTTCATGTTTGTAAGAATCACTGGGTTAGCATCATGATTATTATTGTTAGTTTAGCAAGACACTAAAGATCTAAACACATGGATTAGAGGGAATACTGAAGCCCTCTGCAAGCTTTTAACAGTGGTGACATGAAGTCGTTATCTGCCTGCGTATCAGATTTGCTAAATCCCACAGCCATCAGCAATTGGTTGCCAGAGGTAAATCAGATGACCAAATAGATTTTGACATTTGGAAAGGGAACTGCATAGTAGGAATTCACACGCACATTTGTTAACACAATATTACTTTTGAAGAAATGTTTCCTTCATAAATTCCATCAGTTGTCTATGTCATGATGCAATCTCAAAAGCAACTGTATCGCTCAAGGTCCTTGTAGGTGTTCAGGACGTTCTTGTAGGTGTTCTCACTGTGTGTACTCTCTCCAGGCCTTATTTATTCTAAATGCCCTGGCAGTATTCACAAATACATCTATATGGCCTTTTTAGTTTTTTCTTTGAAAGAAAACACTAGCTAAAGGGTACATTATCAGTTATCTAGTCTTCTATACCTAATGAACTGCCAGTTATTAACCAATCAGCATCATACATTTAGTGACCATCAATTTAATAGGAGGACAACAAATAAGATTGAAGAAAAGGAAAGACAGAAATCACTCCATTCAATTATTTACTAAGTATTTATTGAGTGCCTATGTTCTAGGCTTGCACTAGATGCTAGGGATTTTGGGAGTGAGAGATGCAGGACTTTGCCATCGAAAAGCTCAGGGTCTATAGAAGAAATGGGTTGAGTGAAGACTTTCCATGTTCCTAGAGGAACAGATCACATGCTCATGAGATAAGAACACCACAGTCAAGCAATGGCCAGCAAAAGTCTCTGTAGTTGAACTCTACTAAACAAATCACATTGATAGCAAAATGTGATAATTAAGATGGGAATTTTTGTCCAACTGGAGGAAGCATTAACAATGTAAGAAAGGTATAAACAGAAAATTTCCACGACTTGTTTAGAATAGCAAGTTTTCTGCCTTCACAATATCATCGCCATCTTTAATGTTTTTTCTAACAACTGCATTGTGTCATGTGTATTAAGAACAATTGTTTTATACCTATAGTAAGCATAATTTCCAGGGACATTTACATTGTGGTAGCCAAATTCTTTAAAGTGGAAAACATTTTGTGACAGATGACAAAGAGACATGGTAGATTTTACAACAGTGTGGGAAGTGATTTTAGAATATATTTGTATCTTTGTATGACTGACTACCCCAAAATATCTGGACAGGGAAAAATTATCAGTAGGTTGTACTTTAAAGTCTTCATGTACACCTAGTAATTTGGATTTGGTAGCTTCCTAGAGAATCCTTTTTATATGTAAGGTCTTGTGTCCAAGGTACTCCAAAAAAATCTAATTAACTCACAAGGTGAATGATCAATCATATGAACCATAGTATAACCCAAAGTGTGTCAGCCATTATAGTCACAGGGACCTATGGGTTTTGTAAGAGTTTTCAAATCTGTGTTTTTATTTTGATGACAGTCTAAAAAATTAATATAATCATATTCAGGATCAACTAAACTAATATAATTCTATGTGATTCTTCAATCTTCTTTATGGTATCTTTATAATGTATTATCCTCTTATTATCATTTGGTTTACCAGTTTTAGAGACTTACTATATGTACTGGTTAATAACAAGCTTCCACTGGATTGGCTTATTTTAAAGTTAAAATGGCACAATTCTTTCATATCATTGTTATACTTAATGTTGATTTTATTGACCTGTTATAAGATGAAATTGTTACTTCCCATTTAAAAGATAAATGTCACTCTAATTTTAGTTTTACAAATCAAATTTAGATTTTAAAAACAAAATGACACAGCATGGCAGAATAATGTTGCAGCCTAATCATAAAATAATCAAGGCAGGGAAACTGTAAAAAACACATTCATATTAAGGAACAAGGAAGTTAAATTATACAGCTATATGAGTGACTTTTGCAATATTCAAGTAGAAAAAAATAGTGAGTGAACTAGTCATCATACAGGACATGGTAAGCAACTTAATTAATTAACATGACTATGGTTACTCCATGAAATTTTTAATCGATGTTAAGAAATATCAGCATTAAAAAAAAAAAAAGAAATATCAGCATTATTTTTTAGGATATCCTAGTAAATTGTTTTATCAAACTAATAGATCAGTATTTTATTTTTGTTCAATAGGTGTTTTTAAATTAGAAAGTCTTTCATGAGAAAAGACAGACTTATGGCTTTGTTATGGTTTTTGTCTGCATGTCTCCCCAAGTTCTCATGCAGTCGTGGGGCTGGCTTTTAGAGTTTATGATTAATTCATGGGTGTGAGTGCTATATTGCTCTGGGGCGGATAGTTTGCATCTGTAAGGGAGAGACAGAGGCTGCTTGCCCCCATTCCTCCCTTTTGCTCTTGTTACCTTTGCTGTTTGCTGCCACCATGAAGGTTTGCCCTCTGCCATGTGCCCCTCTGCCTTGCAGCCAGCCAAGTATGGATGGAAACCTCCACAAACTGTAAGCTAAATAAACCTTTCCTTCCTTCATCTTGGGCACTGGGTATTTTGTCTCAGCAACAAGAGAAAAGTAACCAAGGCAGTTTCCTAAAATTTTCTGAGCTAGAAACAACTATGGTCCTGCCTCCCCCTGTGGTGTTGATAGAGCTGAACAGTGACTATTTCTTATGCAAAGCTTGTTTCTCTCATGTACGTTTACTACTTATATTTTATAAGCATTGCATTTTGTGTTTCCTGACCTGAAGCAACCCTATAGTTTCTGCAGAATGTATTAATACAGATTGTGGTAAAAAGGGGCTTTATGTTTTTTGCATGTTTATGAGTAGGGGATTGTGGTAGGTGTGACTCCTCTCCGGGACACCATCACATTCTATTCTCTGTCTAATCATGGTTTAGTAGATGGTCTGAAGTAGAAATTAACCTTTAGGAGCTAGTTTCTCTGATTAATCCACTGCATTCATAGGCTGGAGTCTTCCCTAGCTGGAAGAAATCTCTGTGTCCTTTGCTTTTCCCAGCCCCTCCCTGGTCACCAGCATAATGCCTGCCTCTCATGTGTGTTTCTCTGTTATGACTTGTTGTTCATTTTACCTCATTAATATTTCAAGATCATTGCAGTTATTCATTGAAAAAGGCAACACTTACCACCAGCCATGCAAAGGTGGACTCAGACAAAATTTCTGAGGAGATATTTTGAAAGCATGGTATTTCCAAAGTCTGATTTATCTCTATTTCTATTGTACGGTTTTTCCTCCATTCATCCTGTGGAACTATAACAAAACATAAGGGAGAAAATACATGGATCTTTGAGAGTGCTTTTTATTGAAGAGACAAAAGCAATTGTAGTATGGAAAGTCATCTATCTTCCGGGTGTAGGTTTGAAGTAAAGAGGGAGAACCCCACTACCATCCTCATTAAGTAAATGGCAGTACCAAGACACAGGAAGCTCAGAGGTCCTATGTACATGCACCCCCTGCATCTACTGCAGCGCAACCCCCTACACTCAGTGATGCGTACCAGGGTGGAGCATTCTCTAAGGTCAGACGTTTACACATCATTATTACCCAAAGTCTGTATTTACATTAGGGTTCACTCTTAAAGTTGTACAACCCCTGGATTTGGACAAATTTCCATGCCAGGTACTGACCATTATGATATCATATAGAATAGTTCTGTTGCCTGCTTCTTTTCAATTTCCTTAGTTCCTATCAACTGCTGATCTTTATGCTGAGTTCATATCTAATTACCCTTTTAGAGCTTATAGACATTTCATCAACAAAAGAATAATGCAGAAAATATATAAGGAAGTCTGAGAAAGTATGGTGAATTATTTTCACTTTAAATTTATTATGAGATAAACATCTGTGTCGCCTCCTGTTGGAAATTTGTATAGATATTTATGTGCTTTGGTGACTAAATCATACCACTAAGGGAAAATTGATAAATTAAAAAGAACTCCTTCCAGTAACCCCAAATCTTATTTTAATATCTGCATAAGCCCCCTTCTCTCCTCTCTCTCTCACTATATATGCATTTGAAACCTATATAACCACATGTTACATATAACTTATATATACACACATTTTCTCAAACTTTGCAACCCCGATTACAGACAAATGTTGCATATATTCTTATTTAAAATGTTTTGCATGGGCCAGGGATATAGCTCAGTGGCACAGTGCCTGCTTTGCAAGTTCAAGGTCCAGTGTTCCAGTCCCAGTGCCAGGAAAAAAAGGAAAGAAAGTAAAATGTTTTGCATGATTATTGAACTAGTAGTGGTTGACATTTTTACAGGCTTTGTATTATTTCATCAAATATACCCAATGTCATTTGTTTAGTTTTTTCCAATTATTAAATCATTACTTCCTTTCAATGTGGGCTTTTGTTTTATTTTAAACTGTTACATGCTCTATAACAGGGACCACCCTTATGCTAATGGTTGTCTTCTGACCATTTAGCTACCTAAGATAAATTTGCAGAATATAATGGCTAGAGCAAGGGTTATGAACATTCATACTGCTTGCTACCAGCAGTACGTTATTTTAAGAAATGACATATTTCTTAGCTTCAGAATATTATGTCTGACCTTTAGATTTTTCTTATATTCAATCTATCATTAATACTACCTGTTCAACAGTAAAAAGAAAGCCCAGGAATTGGGAAAAAAATTTTATCCAGCTGCCCCTCAGACAAAAGGCTGCCACCTAGAATACATAAGGAATTAAAAAAAATCAGGCCCCCAAAATTGAAAGACCCAATCCAAAAATGGGCATCTGAGATGAACACACTTCTCAGAGGAAGAAATACTAACCACGAATAAATATATGAAAAAATGTTCAACATCATTAGTCATTAGA